GAGAGAGAGAGAGAGAGAGAGAGAGAGAGAGAGAGAGAGAAAGAGAGAGAACACAAGGTTGGACTGCTGTCCGATCGGATAAGTTTAGCAGGACCAATTGGAAAAGTCGGTCAAGTGCTCTCGTGCTGTCCGTATTTGCGGTCGCAAGGGAGGATCGTCATCGGGTGTCCAATAGGGTGATTCCCACGAGGAACCGCCGGTCAGCTGTGAGCTTATTATTTCTGATAATAACAGGTCAACCGATATATCGGAGGCGGACGGTTCGCGCGAGGGATTCCCGACGTGAATTCCCTCGTAGACATATAATCCGTTGGTCCGCGGCTTGATTGGACCGGCAGCATCGGCAGGTCGCTCGATATATTTCTATTTAAATCCGCGTGATCGTTCCCGTCGGTTGGATAACGACGGAAAGAAATTCTCTCATAAAGTATGTTATCCGTTGGAATCAATTTTAATCACAGTTCTGTCGCCCGAATCTATTTACTTGGAGGATTGATTGCAATTTATAAAAAAAAGAAAGAATGTGCACGTATGCTGTAACGTGTATGCAAAATATGATCGATGATAACGAGAATTATACATGATAAATGTCAATATGTTGCAACTGTAAAATGATTACAGATCTCTCTCAATTGTAACATTAAAAATTCATGCTTGCTCATGAGATTATCGTTCGTTATATGTAACGCTTGATTTATTTGAAAGTTTTCAAAATAATATCTATTCATATAAAAATAAATAATATTTATATCATTAAATTTTTTTCAGGAATGTATATCCTTGATCTTTATTTCAGAAAGGCTAAGCATCTCTCCATTTGTGTAATAAGGTTGATATAATTTATTAAAGAGACGCAGAGACGTGCGAATAAGTTTCTATTCATGATATCACGATAAATTAATGCGTTTCCATTAGTCCCAGAAACCGTGTTTTAGCTCGGCAATGTCCATGGAGCATCCGCGAAACGGGAAAACGTTGAAAGGATTTCTCTCCGGTTCCGTCGCTCTGGTCGACTCTTTTCGCTCCAGCAAAGAACTTCCGTAATTCGCTTACGCATTCGCAGTGGACTTATCCTTGCCTCCGTTTTGCACGCTTTCCCGGGGTTTATCCGACCAGAAATCTCAGAAAGAACTTATTATGTAAAGGGTGAACGAAAGGAAAGAAAAAGTACGGATAGCACACAGAGAAGATGAGGAAGAGATCGTTAATTGGCTTCTCAGATTTTCTCTCGTATACGACATAGGTACCGTTGTTTCAGCTTTCCATTATTCGTCTTTGCATCATGTTCGGATATACTGCTTTCTTACTATCGCTCATTCTTATCTTTTTTGAATCGCAATCGTTAAATCACGTTTGACCCATAAAACTGCATCTTCATATTGAAATAAGAGCAAGGATTTACTTGTTCCCATTTATAAAGAGCTTGAGTTTATATACTTATAGTGAATGGATTTAAATAAGAGAAGATGAGTATTGTGTGCATTTTACTAACGGTATAGTTATTCTAAAAGTCCTATAACCGGAGTCACGTGATATATCTTATTTCTTGCTGCGTACAAAGTATTTGAAATCGAGAGGTAAATAATGAGCACGATTTATCTGCGTTGCATTTGTCACGTCGCAAAATCCAGTCACGGATATTGGAAAAACATTCGGAACCGGCGAAGATGCCGCCAATAAGATCGATAAAACTTGAGATGCGGTAACGACGTGAGAAATCTAAGTAAAAAAGCGTAGCGCGGCTACGACATTTGCGTTTCTCGTAAAGTTGGCGATGGTCGTGGTGACGGTGGAGGTGGTGGTGGTGGTGGTGGTGGTGGTGGTGGTGGTAGAATAGTTTAAGGGGGTTTTTAGTATTTCCTCATTTTCTGAAAGGCACTTCTGTCCTCTTGGAAAATGCGAGACTTACCCGGACTAATGCACGGTAATCGCACGGCAGCTGACGAAGGCTCCACAAGTCTGACCCCACATCGTCATGAATGATTCAGTGAGCGGACGTAGTAGCGGAGGGTCATTATCGTTATAAAGGGGAATGAATTTTACACGAAACACCGTAGACGTTGCGCAATAACGCGTGATGACATTCATCGCCAGGGAATAACCTTCGTCGCGCGCCAATGAAAAAAGCTTGGATTAATAAATAACGAGAGTAAATCATTCCGATATTATCAAACTATGTTTATTACGCGACACGGGGGTAGAAGAATTTGACATGTATGAAGAATTTGTATGTACATGCATATTATTCGGTACTATATCCAAAATCACATTTGTCTAGAACTAATTAGAAAACTGAGTTTATATTCATATTGAAAATAAATGAATTATCTAGCGTATTTAATTTTTAATAAATACCTATTTGCATAGTCAAGTCAATCTCTTTTCGTTGCGAAGAGAGATTCAATTTTCTTTCGCATAATTAATAATTCGTATTTCAGAAGTAACTGTCCTTCTTCAATTCTAAATCAGTGAAATCGAAACGATTATGGAGCGGATATATAGAAAATAGCGCGATCCGGGTTATGAACTTTTGTCCCTCTTATTTCCAGGCGCTTAAAAGCACCTTCCGTTCTCCCTTTATGAAATTCATGTTATAAGTCTCTCAAGTGAGTTGATTAGATTGGCTCGTGCGGCCGCGTGGTGTAACCCCCATTTTGTGGACGCGAAAGCCGATCGAGATTTCATAGCGCTATGCGAGATATGGACGCCATAGCTTAGATTTCGATTTTGACGAAGCTTTACGCGAGCGCCGAATGGTACCAATTTTCGCGGGCCTCGTGAAACTCCCGATGTACAGGACGGATGAAACTTTATGAAATTCATGAGGGACGTCGGTGCACTTACCGACAGCCGAAGTAGCTCGGCACGAATATTTCTTGGAAATCGTCGCCGCAGGGAGTAAGAAACTTTTCATGGATTTTTATATAAACTTCGGATCTTTGATTCTGCCCATAAAATTTTCAACTGCGAATGAGCGACGGTATCGGGAGCTGAATATCTTCAAATCGTTTCCTGAATTTGTATATAGTTCGCGTCTTGCTAATCGACGAAGCAACTCGTCCATTTAAACTTATTTTGCACCGCGTTTTGCATATTGTTAAATTTTTATGTGATAAATTTGAAATTATATAAATGACTCACCGAACGTGATAACTTCCGCAAGAGCTGAATCCTTTACTGCATCTTCGGCGTGCGTCGTTAATTCTGTAAGCATATAATTACATTACATGTAACGATATGATATAATAAATTACATGTTTATCGTAAAAAAATGCGAGCTTATACATTTTAAGTTAATTTTGCAAAATTTATTTTATATTCTTTTATAAATTTTTATATTCTTTATTAACACGATTGCTTCTTAAATAACGATCGATGATTCGAAGGAAAGACTATGGTCCGGGCACATTCACAGCTTTAGAAACTTTAGTGTGACGAAGTACTTGAGAACTAAGAATGACCAACAGTAAGAAGTTTTATCCACAGGACACGTTTAAAACGAAGAGGAAGTGAGTTTGCGGTACGAGTGCGAACTGCGACCGCACGGCGAGGATCCTTGTAAGCGATCGCGAGACTATCGCGAGAGAAAAAGGTGTCGGGTGCGCAAGGCGCATTGATTTCAGATGAAAGGCGAGCGACGTCGGTGATGGTGCGTTTCCATATGTATTCCTACATTTCAAAGTGGTCGGGCCCAGTCGATACCCTTCTTTATCATTTTTATGGTCGAGTAGGAGGCCGTGGCGGAAACGTCCGCATATTTATCCGCCGGTGCGATGGCAATAAAACACAGGCCTGCGCGGCATGCATATCCGGCTGTCGTGTCGGTGTTTTCCCGGCGGCGTATAATATCTCGCTCAGGAATTTCGCGGCGGCAAAAAGTTTTGCGGTATATGCGCGTGTGTAAAAGCACATCTGATTCGAGTAAAAAATGAGGATGAACGGGTCGGGATCGCGGGCGGGCCGCCTAGCAAACTTGATGAAACGTTGGAAGACTATTCCCGGCAGATTCATCGGCTAACTTTAGCCGCCTTCTTCGCGCGCTTCTTCGGTTCCCATCGAAGTTGTCTAACTTCGTAGTGGATGTGTTTGATAATGGCATACCTCGGAGCACCGAAGTTGCTCTACGTACTGCCGCGTGAAGCGACTCCGACGCGTCTATACTTTCACGTATACAAATACTTTGATAAGTATAAGGAAAAATGGCGAACGCGTTTCCGATACATTCACTTGTACGTATTGTAGCGACGGACAAGCTTAACATAAGAAGAAACGTACGTAAGTCCGTAGGAAGATATTGGTATTAAATACGCGAAAGAAACTATCAAACGCGCGATGTTATAGTATTATCTTGAAAACTTTAGTCACAGGATCTATCTGAACATCCTTCTCCATTTTTACCGGGGATGACCGTATCAAAGATTTATCTACAGATAAAGATAATCCTGTACGGTGGTCTCGGAATCGACATCCAAAGACAACACTTTGACAACAGAACGACTGTCTTGTACAATATGTACGATTTCTAGTTTGCCGGATTATCAGATCGATTCTTGAATTATACGTGGTGTAGGTATTAGATTAGACGTTAATGGCGCTTCATGATTTATTCAAGTTGCAGCATTCATGACAATGAGTCTGACGATCGAGAATAATAGAATACGTTTGTCGCTATAATTATTTTGCGTTTCAAGGACAATGTCACATACACGTTTTACACATTCTTCATATGCAATAACGTTTTAATGTAAGAAAACGATTGAATCAATGAAAACTGAGGGTTACTTTTGTGAAAAGACTCATCAAAATATTGAAATCAAAATATTTTCTTTAATTAGAAATTTTTCAAGTTAAATATAGTTGAAACTAAAGAAAAAATTATTTATGTGTATAAATTAGCCACCTTGCAAAGACTTTGTCACGGTAGAATAAATAAAAGTATATAATATCCGTATATTATATATATATAACCTTTCATATTATGCGATTTATAACATTTCATCTCGGTATTCCGTCTTAACTTAAATTTCACGTCGCTGTACAGTTATACCTATTCTTCCTTTTACACCCTCTGGGACTTCCAAGTAATCGCAAGTAGGCGGAAGTACGGATCTGGAGATGTAGAGACAGACAGACGACTAGAAAGCAAGCTATCGCAGTACAGTAATCCCAGCCGTGTTTTCTGGGTCGGTTGCATCCGGGATTGCGGTACCCAGGGCGCATTGTCTCCACGAAATACGGTCGCGGAAGGAACGAAAATTATACCCCTCTACCGTCCGAAATGCTTTATTTCCTCCGTCGGCTGGTGCATTCGCACATTTCTATTCCTCTCTTTCTCTCTCTCTCTCTCTCTCTCTCTCTCTCTCTCTCTCTCTCTCTCT